CATGACAGCCTTTCAAGGTCAAATTCAGCTAGTTGGGGCCAAAGGTCAAGTTTCGTTGCCCAGTAGTCAAGGGGATTGTCTACCTCGGTTGGCAGGGTGCTGTCCAAGTAGGCCCAAGCCTGTTGTTTGAGGTCCTGCTCCAGGTCCACCACCTGATGCTGCTGCTGCTGCGGCTGGTTAGTAGTTTCCTCACTGCGCTGGTGAAGAAAGCTACTCATCATCGACTGCAGACTGAGGCAGCCGCTGCTGGTGGAGCTGCCACTGCTCCTACCACCCCACCCCTCCCCCCTGCTGCCATGGCAGCGGAACGCGAGCGCACAGGGCCCACAGTGTCTGAGGATGGACGTTGGCGCAGAAAGGCAGAGACCAAACTGACTACATAGGTGGTTTTTATATAGTACGTTATTTTGGCCTCCCTCTCAGCAGGTGTGAAAAAGGCCACCATTTTTGAACGGTAGCGAGGGTCCAACAAGGTGGACAGCCAAAAGTCATCCCTCTGTCTGATGGTTATTATTCGGCTGTCGCTACGCAAGCAACCGAGCATGCTATGGGCCATTTGTGCCAAGGAATGCGAGGGACTCCCTGCCTCCATCTCCACAGCATACTGCCACGGTGCGTCTGGGTCCTCTGTCTCCTCCTCCTCCTCTACCAGATGCTCCTGCTCCTCCACTCCTGTCCGCTGAGTGGAAAAACCACCCATTTCACTCAATAATTCCTGAGCACCAATGTCCTCCTACTACCGACCTCCTCCTCTTCTTCCTGTCCTGCCCCCACAGGGGTCATGTGGCGTTGAGATCTGTGCGCCACGTCTACCGCACCCTGACCAGCCATTGTTAACAGCATTTGTTCCAGGACGTGCAACAGAGGAATGACGTCATTCATCCCATAGTCCTGCCGACTCACGAATAGCGTGGCCTCCTCAAAGGGCCTGAGCAAGCGGCAGGTGTCACGCATGAGCTGCCAATGGCTGACATCTAAGTTACACAGGGGAGTACCTTTATCCGCTTGTAACATCAGGAAATCGGTGATGGCCTTTCGCTGTTCGTAAAGGCGGTCTAACATATGTAGGGTTGAATTCCACCTTGTTGCAACGTCGCAGATCAGGCGATGCTGTGGAATTCCGTTCTGCCGCTGCAGCTCAAGGAGGGTGTGCTTTGCGGTGTAGGAATGGCTGAAATGCATGCAAAGTTTACGTGACATTTTAAGGATGTCTTGCAGTGGGATGGTGGATTTTAGGAACCGCTTGACAACCAGATTGAACACGTGAGCCATGCATGGCGCATGGCACAACCTTCTTGACGCAGAGCAGACACCATGTTCTTTCCGTTGTCGGTCAACATGGTTCCGATTTTCAGTTTGCGCGGAGACAGCCATCTGTCGATTTCTCTGTTCATTACACTGAGAAGTTCCTCCCCTGTGTGACTACGTTTCGCCAAGGCATACCAGGTGCAGCACAGCGTGACACCGTTGCGCCCTGCACATGTGATATGCCGGTCGGGTAATGGGACTTGGCACGGGGGTGGCGGCTGAGGACACGGCGGAAGAAGAGGTGGTAGAGGTGGACATCTTTGCTGGACCAAGGACGTGCAAACGTGGAGGCAAAAGCGGCGTGACCTGTCCAAGTTGCTGGTGCGGCTGTGCCGGCACCACGTTCACCCAGTGGGCCGTAAATGACATGTACTGTCCCTGACCGTAGTTACAGCTCCACACGTCGGCGCTGCCGTGCACTTTGGCAGAGACCGACATGCTCAAAGACTGGCCCACCATCTCTTCTACATGTGAATGCAGGGCTGGCACTGCCTTTTTGGCGAAGAAATGCCGGCTTGGCACTCTCCACCGCGGCTCGGCACAAGCCATCATTTCTCGGAAAGGTGCTGAGTCCACCACTTGGAAAGGGAGGGACTGCAGCACCAGCAACTTGGACAGGAGGACGTTCAGCTTCTGCACCGTCGGGTGCGTGCTCGCAAACTGTTTTCTCTTGGAAACGGATTCCAAGAAAGACTGCTGACGGAATCCGTGAAGAGGAGTAGCAGGAGAAGGAGCATCTGAACGAGCGGAAGATGCCAACGAGCGACAACTCCCCCCTCAGCAGAGGTGTTGGAGCCTTGACTGGCTGATAGAGGGCGATTGACGTCGGGTGACGGAGCAAGTAACGGAGCGGGTGATGGAGCGAGGGCTGGGGCAGGCAGAACCGCCGTATCTTTATCACGGTTTTCCCAGGCCACCGAATGGCGACGCTGCATATGCTGACGCAACGCTGTAGTCCCAACATTGGCCCCCTGGCCACGCTTGACTTTCTGGCCACATAGTCGACATACGGCTACGTTTACTTCCTCTGGGGCGGCGTGACGAAAAATTGCCACACCGCCGAGTAGGAAACTTTGCCCCCGCTACTCCTCACTGGCTGACTGCTACTTCCTCCGTGCACACCGGCACCACTACTGGCCGTGGTGGTAGGCTGCAGTGGAGCTGGTGCTCTACTCCGTGGCCGTTTGGCTCCACTGACACTGCTGCGACCCTGCTGCCTCCTGGGCAACCCACCGACTGTTTTGCTCGCTGGCAAGCTGGCACCCTCTTCTCCTGATGATGCGGAAGCAATAGCCTGATGACGACGAGGCTGCCAAGTGCGATCAGCCTCATCATCATCAAATTAGGGTCTCCGCGTCACTACTAGCCCCCTCGGCTGCGTGTGGGTCAGGAGACAGACCTGTCTCTAGATCGGCTACTGAGCCACTCTCCTCGCCAGTACTTCTTCGCCTGGCTGCTGAAGAGGCGGATGTCTCCCCCCGTTCCTGACCGCCCTCTGTTAGCTCTTCCTCACTGTACAGTGGGGCTGAGCCCACAGCATGCGATACTTCGCTTGGTGAGGGAACACCAAAGGGACAGGGGCAGGTCGAGGACACGTGATTTCAGTGGGCTTGCTCCCGGGCCATGCCAACTAACGGTTGTGTCTGACGTACCCACCGACCGTTGGCTGTAGGTGTCAGAGGTGACCTGGGAAGAGGAAGACGACCGAGTCAACCAATCGATGACGGCAGGGTTGTCGGTGGAGACACGACCGCTGGATGACACCGGGAGCACTGGGCCTCTGGCTGCGACTAGTGCTGCCTCGACCCCTTCCTCTGCTGCCACGTCTGCTCGCTCCTGAAACATTGCCTCCTCTGCCACTCCTCTGCGTGTTGTCTGACATACTCTTTAATTCAATAAGCACCCCAAAAAATAAAAACGGATTTAACTCTTTGAACGTACAATAGTGGTTGTGAAGCAGAAAGTCAGTTTATTTAGCACAATCGGTCAATTGCAGCTTGCCGTTGGCTGGAAACTGTACGTTTATGTCACTGGAATGCACTAATCACCCAAAAAATATTACCGCCACCCGGCGTGTAAATGGATCTAACTCTTTGAACGTACAATAGTGGTTGTGAAGCAGAAAGTCAGTTTATTTAGCACAATCGGTCAATTGCAGCTTGCCGTTGGCTGTAAACTGTACGTTTCTGTCACTGGAATGCACTAATCACCCAAAAAATATTACCGCCACCCGGCGTGTATATGGATTTAACTCTTTGAACGTACAATAGTGGTTGTGAAGCAGAAAGTCAGTTTATTTAGCACAATCGGTCAATTGCAGCTTGCCGTTGGCTGGAAACTGTACGTTTATGTCACTGGAATGAACTAATCACCCAAAAAATATTACCGCCACCACCCGGCGTGTAAATGGATCTAACTCTTTGAACGTACAATAGTGGTTGTGAAGCAGAAAGTCAGTTTATTGTACACAACCGGTCAATTTGCAGCTTGCCGTTGGCTGGAAACTGTACGTTTTCTGTCACTGGAATGCACTAATCACCCAAAAAATATTACCGCCACCCGGCGTGTAAATGGATCTAACTCTTTGAACGTACAATAGTGGTTGTGAAGCAGAAAGTCAGTTTATTGTACACAACCGGTCAATTGCAGCTTGCCGTTGGCTGGAAACTGTACGTTTCTGTCACTGGAATGCACTAATCACCCAAAAAATATTACCGCCAGCCCGCGTGTAAATGGATCTAACTCTTTGAACGTACAATAGTGGTTGTGAAGCAGAAAGTCAGTTTTTTGCACAATCGGCAAACTGCAGCACCAACTGTGCACGACAGCCACCAAAAAAAAAAAAAGGGTGTATGTCACTTTAAATTTTCGATTCTTTGATAGCTGTGGCCCTAAGTAACGATTCTGTGGCCCTGAGTAGCGATTCTGTGGCCCTGAGTAACGATTCTGTGGCCCGATGAGTAACGATTCTGTGGCCCTGAGTAACGATTCTCCCTGGCCTGTAACGATTCTGTGGCCCTTAAGTCTCTGTGGCCCTAACTCTGTCCCTTCATACACACAGGTCTGTCTCTCTTGAATGACCGGAGGGCTAATGGAGAATTCTAAGATGGCCGCGATTTATAGCTCCACCATTACACAGTGCTGGCTGGCTGGCTGCTGATTGGCTAATGCGATCACATGTCATGAATGAATGCATTATGGGTCAGCGCGCCTTGTCTGCGCGCCTTCCCAGAGATCCCCGCTCCGTCGCCACACATGTCGCCGCCATTTTTTGGAAAATTCGATTCGTGCATCCGAAGTGTGCTAATCTTCGGATTCGGCGCGAATCGAATTTTTCCAAATCTTCGGAACGAATTCCACTTCGTCATGTTCGATTCGCTCATCTCTAATAATAATAAATTTAATTCCATAATATAATCAAACCAAAAACACTGAAATTTGAAATAGAGCGCCAAGTTCGCACATCACTGAGCAAAGTCGCAAAATCGTTTTCAGTGTCTGATGATGAATTTCCCCACAAATCATTATCCCTCAATCCTGCAAGTGGTTTACTAATCGCTGTTCTCTAGCTGGTCTAAAACCACTTTTGAGCTAAAGGGACGCTTTTTGGACGCCATGGACATTTCTCAGTATCCAGGCAGAAAGAACAGTAAAAATGCAGGCAGGGCGCAGGACAAAGCACTCGGGACAAAATGTATGTGAAATGGTTTGATACAGTAATATTTTACTATGTGATTTTAGTGTATTTAGTGAATGTCACTTTTTGTCGTTTCCAAATTTCCCGCTGTTCCGTCCTCCGTACGTCCCAACATCGCAGGGAACGGAACCCAGATGACAGATGCCGGCATCCGTCGGAGGAAATTACAGGGGACACTGCAGGAGGCACATCACTGGAGCGCAGGACAAGGTAAGTGAAGAACAGATTCCGGAGCAGCGCCGCATGGTAAGCCCGAGTGTAGCTCGGGGTTACCGCTTGTGGTACTGAAACTTTACCCCGAGCTACACTCGGGAATACCGCCAGGGAGGTTAAGTTTGTCATATTTTTCTTTGTCTGATATTAAGCGATTTAGTTCCCTCAAACAATCATCTTGATTAATAATTACAATTATTTTCAATGGCGCCTAAAAATTGGTGTGGTGAACTGCATTGAGTGAAGCTTGTTGCCCAAAAGTTTGCCTTGCTCCAGGTGCTGACAATCACGCTACGCTTAAAAAAAAAAAAAAAAAAAAAAAAAAACTGGCTCCAAACTTTTTTAGCTGGCTCCTAGCTTCAAAGCAAATTTTTTAAGCCCTAGTATAAGTTACATATTGTATATACAGTGGGGATCGAAAGTTTGGGCACCCCAGCTAAAAATTTGTATTAATGTGCATAAAGAAGCCAAGGAAAGATGGAAAAATCTCCAAAAGGCATCAAATTACAGATTAGACATTCTCATAATATATCAACAAATTAGATTTTATTTCCATCATTTACACTTTCAAAATAACAGAAAACAAAAAAATGGCGTCTGCAAAAGTTTGGGCACCCTGCAGAGTTAATATCTTGTACTGCCCCCTTTGGCAAGTATCACAGCTTGTAAACGCTTTTTGTAGCCAGCCAAGAGTCTTTCAATTCTTGTTTGAGGTATCTTTGCCCATTCTTCCTTACAAAAGTCTTCCAGTTCTTTGAAATTTCTGGGCTGTCTGTCACGCACTGCTCTTTTAAGGTCTATCCATAGATTTTCAATTATGTTGAGTTCAGGAGATTGTGAAGGCCATGGCAAAACCTTCAGTTTACGCCTCTTGATGTAATCCCCCGTGAATTTCGAGGTGTGTTTAGGATCATTATCCATTTGTAGAAGCCATCCTCTCTTTAACTTCAGCTTTTTCACAGATGGCATCAAGTTACCATCCAAAATTTGCTGAAATTTTATTTAATCCATGTTTCCTTCTACTCGTGAGATGTTCCCTGTGTCACTGGCTGCAACACAACCCCAAAGCATGATTGATAAAACCCCATGCTTAACAGTTGGACAGAGGTTCTTTTCATTAAATTCTGTGCCCCTTCTTCTCCAAACGTACCTTTGCTCATTCCAGCCAAAAAGTTCAATTTTAACCTCATTGGTCCACAGAACTTGTTTCCAAAATGCATCAGGCTTGTCTATATGTTCATTTGCAAAGTTCAAACGATGATTTTTGTGGTGAGGACGTAGAAGTGGTTTTCTTCTGATGACTCTTCCATGAAGACCATATTTGTACAAGTATCTCTTTATAGTGGAATAGTGTACCACAACTCCAGTGTCTGCCAGATCTTTCTGGAGGGATCGTGCAGTCAAACGTGGGTTTTGAATAGTTTTTCTCACAATCCTGCGAGCTGTTCTGTCTGATATGTTTCTTGGTCTTCCAGATCTTGCTTTAACTTCCACTGTTCCTGATGACTGCCATTTCTTAATTACATTCCGAACAGAGGATATTGACATCTGAAAACGCTTTGCTATCTTCTTATAGCCTTCTCCAGCTTTGTGAGCGTCAACTATTTTCAGTTTCAGTTTTCTAGGCAACTGCTTAGAAGAACCCATGGTGCTGATTGTTGGGGCAAGGTCAGATGAGTCTGGGCATTTAAAACCTTTGAGATTGACATCACCTGGTCTTCCCAGACGATGATTGAGAACAATCCATGACACTGGCAGCTCTCAGCTTGGCAAAGGGGGCAGTGCATGCTATAAATTCTGCAGGGTGCCCAAACTTTTGCAGACGCCATTTTTTTGTTTTCTGTTATCTTGAAAGTGTAAATGATGGAAATAAAATCTAACTTTTGTTGACATATTATAAGAATGTCTAATCTGTAATTTGATGCCTTTTGGAGATTTTTCCATCTTTCCATGGCTTCTTTATGCACATTAATACAAATTTTTAGCTGGGGTGCCCAAACTTTCGATCCCCACTGTATATATTACTTTCATAGTTTAACGGTATAAACTAACCCCTTATGGTAGTGATTATCTGCTGCTTTTGTACTATAAAGGGCTAATTTTTTAACCTCACGACAGGTGATAAAAAAAAAAAAAAAGCATGCTGCTGCCACTAAATGTCTTATGTTAGCCATAGATATACTGATTTTCAGACGTAAATATTAATACAAATATTCGTATGAAACGCAATTGTGCATTCAATGAATGAACGAATGTCGTTTGCAAAATTTCACTTATTTTTAACATTCAATTTTAAAATGGATGTAATTTCTGAACGAAAACCACAGACACTGTCCAAAAATGAGTTTGCTTGAGAAAAGGTTTCTATTCTTCTCCTTCAAATTTTCCTGTCAATGTGGTTGAAAACAAACATCGATTTGACCCCACTTACAATTAGAAAATCATACAAAAAACTTTAAAAAAAAAAAATTTTTTTTTGAATGAAAAACGTGTTTGTGTATGGCCAGCATAAAGCTGGGTACACAAGGTCCGAATATCAGCCGGTTTTTAGCAGGAACGGATGAAATTTGGACCATGTGTACATCTATCCTTCCAACAGAAGCCAGTCTAGAGACTGGCTTTTGTCAAAGGGACTAGTGGAAAAACAGCATCCAATCAGCGTTGTATCAGATTCAGCCTCTAAGGCCTGGATTACACTAGTGCAGGTCATGCGGCATGCGTGCAGCCACAGCCGCCTGTTCATTTGGCCATGTTTCATGCAACAAAAACGTGCACACACCTTTTAAAAAAGGTATCCGCAGGGAAAGCACATGGTATTACTGACTGTGCAGTTTTTCCTTGTGGTTCCCTCATCCGTGGTCATGCTGTGGGCTGAGATTTGTGTGAGCGTGCCATTCAGAATGAATGGCAGCCCCCGCGTGCATGAGCAGTGCGATTCGGCTGCGGGATCGATGCGATTGCCGCACCCACAACCAGCCCGCAGCTTGCAGGCTAGTGTGAACCTAGCCTAATAGCATTTACATCTCTTCTCTCTGTTATTCTCAGAGTGGATTAGATATTTTGTTCCCTAACCATATAGCTATTACTTATATTTACCACTGCATATAGATACTCAAATATATATAAATTACCTTTTTTTAAACTTTACATATTGACTAAATTATACATCACACTTTTTTGAGGGTTTAAACCTGATTTTAAAAAAAATAATCGGCCAACTAATCGATTATGAAAATAATCATTAGTTGCAGCCCTAGTACCATTTTTAAAAAAAACATAAGCAAGCAGGCAAAACACATTTCTTATGGGATTTATATTCAACTGTAGGTCATAACAGAATGGCCAAATCATAAAACAAAACACTGTGCCACATAAACAAATGACATGATCTCTGTTCAAAAGTCTGCATACCCTTAGTTCTTAATATTATGTATTGCCCCCTTTAGAATCAATGACAGCAAGCCGTCTTTTGTAATAGTTGTCTATGAGGCCTGAATTCTTGCAGGTAGTATAGCTGCCCATTAGTCTTGGCAAAATGCCTACAGGTCATGCAAAGTCTTTGGTTGTCTTGCATGAACCACATGTTTGAAATCTCCCCAGAGTGGATTGATGATATTAAGGGCAGGAGACTGTGATGGCCACTCCAGAACCTTCACCTTTTTCTGCTGTAATCGCTGGATTGTTTGCTTGGCCTTGTGCTTAGGGTCATTGTCATGCTGGAAAGTCCAAGAGCATCCCATGCACCGCTTTTGTGAAGAAGAATGCAAATTGTCTGCCAATATTTTTTGACAACATGCTGCATTCATCTTGTCATCAATTTTCACAAGATTCTCCATGCTTTTAGAGCTCACACACACTCCCAAAACATCAGTGAACCATCACCATGCTTCACAGTGGGTAAAGTATTCTTGTTACTATAGGCCTTGTTGACCCCTCTCCAAACATAGCGCTTATGGTTGCAACCATAGAGTTCTATATTGGTTTCATTTCTCCAGATTATAGGGTGCCAGAAGCTTTTTTTGTGCCATTGGCACAGTAAAGGCTTCTTTCTGGCAACCCGATCATGCAGGTCATTTTTGTTCAAGTATCATCGAACTGTGCTTTTTGAAACAACCACAATGTCTGTTTCCAGAGCAGCCTGTATTTGTCCTGAGGTTACCTGTGGGGTTTTTCTTTGTATCCCGAACAATACTGGCAGGTGTGGCTGCAATCTTTTTTTGGTTTACTTGACCTTGGCTTGGTATCAAGAGATCCCAAAATTTCCCACTTATTAAAAAGTGATTTTACTGTGCTGACTGACATATTCAAGGCTTTGGATATCTTTTTATATCCTTTTCCATCTTTAAAAAGTTCCATTACCTCATTACACAGGTCTTTTGCCAGTTTTTCACTGCTCCCCATGGCTCAGTATCTAGTGTGCTCAGTGCATCCACGTGAGAAATAAAACCCATTGACTATTTATACACAGACACTAATTGCAATTTAAAAATCCACGGATGCGGGGAAAGTAACCTTTAATTGCCATTTTAACCTGTCTGTGTCACCTCGTGTGTTTGTACCAAGGCCAAACATTCCAGAGTAAAAGATCAGGGCCATTTGGGTCATTTCTGTTATTATGGATTAAAAAGGAGCCAAAACAACTATGTGATAATAAATGGCTTCATATGATCACTATCCCTAAATAAAAGACTTTTTTTGGGCATGATCAGTCATATTTTCAAAATCAATGCCAAAATTTCAGAATTTCTGTCAGGGTATGCAAACTTTTGAGTACAACTGTATCTGTCCTTCTAATGTTGTGCCATAGAAGCAAAAAGACTGGACAGCTGTAGGGCATTTATTAAAATCTGGACTGACTTGACATAATCAATGCCCTGAATGATAAACTATGTCAGGTCCATAGAAACCGTAAGAGGTTTAAGATATCCACCTTTAGATTTCTCTTATTCAGCCTCCCCAGACTGAGAGATATCATTTGATTCCCCCAGTCATGCTAAAAAGTGTGCATGATAGCATCTTCCCAGCCAACTATTGTATATGGACAGTTGCAGCACCAGCGGCTGTCTAAATAAACTGACAGTGACTGAACCTGATTGAGTATATAGTCCGTCACCATTTGGCTG